TCTAATGCCAAAATAAAGTTTGCCTAATTTTATAACCGCTTCTGGCCGGTGCAGCTATTGCATTCTTTGCGGTAGTATTCTAGCATCCATGAACACCCACAGGCCAATTGTGCGCGAGTTTAGCCAGACCACGTGACACCAACAAGCCAATAATATGTTGCATTCCTGCCAGAAAATACAGGCGATACGTAGCAAAAATAAACGTTTCAGACGGAGAGGAGAGCAGCCAAGAGCAGAAATTCGAACAGAGAAAACGAGAGATTCAGGCGGAGAGCGGTGGAAAGAAGGAGACATTCAGGCAAAGAACAGGAGAGCAGCGACAAGGAGAGATTCAGGTGGAAAGGAGGAGGAATTCAGGCAGAGAAAAGGAGAGCGGCGACAAGGAGAGATTCAGGCGGGTGAGACGGAGAGAAGTAGAAAAAGCAGAAATGGCAGCCTCTAAAAAACGGAAAGTGGACAGCGAAAATAGAGCATTTAATCCAGAATGGACAGAGTCATTTCTCTTTGTTCTTCCCACTGGTGGCACAAAACCTGTTTGTCTCATATGTTCAGAAACAGTGGCACTTATTAAAAGTGGCAATGTGAAACGCCATTATGAGACAAAACACAAATGTTTTGAAAAAACATATCCCCTCAGATCAGAAGTAAGATCAGAGAAAATACGTAGTCTCAAAGCCCAATATGAACCTTCCACCAGGATCCTGAGCCACACGTTCACTGCTCAGCAGCGAGCCCATGAGAGTTCCCTCAGAGTTTCTTGGATTTTGGGTCAGCACAAAAAACCATTTACTGATGGAGAGGTTGTCAAAGAGTGTATGACAGCAGTTGCTGAAACACTGTTTGAAGGAAAAGAAAAACAAGAAGTTTGTGAAAAAATAAAGCAAATCCCCATATCAGCATCATCTGCTACAAAGAAAAGTGAAATACTGACTCAGGATGTTGTAGCCCAGCTAGATGAAGCCATACAGAAGGCACCATGTGTAGGTTTGGCTGTGGATGAGTCCACTGATGTGTGTGATAATGCTCAGCTGTTGGTTTATGTGAGGTTTTATTACGCAGAGCAGAAAGCATTCTATGAAGACCTGCTGGGTCTTCAGACCAGCACCACAGGAGAGGACATCTACCATCTACCTGGCCATTATGGAGATGTTGGCAAAGAGAGGAACTGAGCCTACAAAAGTGATTTCAATAACTACAGATGGAGCCCCTGCTATGATAGGGAGAGAAAAGGGAGCTGTAACAAGAATGAAGAAAGACAACCCTGACCTCTTAACCTACCATTGCATTATTCATCAATCGGTCCTCTGTGCCTCCCTGTCAGATGAGCATGCTGGGGTGATGACTTCAGTGATGAAAATGATCAACTTTCTTAGAGCGTCCTCTTCCTACCAGCATCGCATGCTTAGAGAATTCCTCAAAGAAGTTGATGCCAATGCTGATGATCTTCTGCTGCACAACAATGTGAGATGGCTCAGCAAAGGCAGAGTTTTAGCACGCTTTTGGGCCATCAGGAGGGAAGTAGCATCTTTTTTGGCAGAGCTAAAACATCATAAGGCAACACAGTTTTCTACATTTCTAGAAAATGAGAAGCAGATGGACAATGTTGCCTTTTTGGTTGATATAACTTCACATCTAAACGAACTGAACTTGAAGCTACAGGGCAAGGACAATTCCAGCTGTCCGTGCCTTTCAGAGAAAACTTGAAATGTTCAAGGAGGACTTGCAGGAAGACTGTGTCCACTTCCCAGCAGTGCAGGAACAGGTTCAGGGACAGCGAGACGTCTCGTCGTTTGTTGACTTCATTGATAAGCTTATTGCTAACTTCAGCAATCGTTTTGATAGCTTCAGCATTGGCCAGCAGCTCACCATGTTCATTCAGAACCCATTCCTCATCACAGATGTCAGGAGCTTCTCAAAGGAAGCCACGCAGCATTTTAAATGGGTCAATGCCAGGGATCTTCAGATGGAGTTAGTTGACCTCCAAGCAAACTTGGCCATGAATGAACTGTCTGCCAGGACTGACCCGTCCTCATTCTGGCTCCAAATGGTTCCTGAGACAGCTTTCTCACGTCTAAAGAAAGTAGCCCTGTACATCCTGACCATGTTTGGTTCCACCCACAACTGTGAGGCAGCGTTCTCCACAATGAACATTATAAAAAACAAATATCGGTCCAGGCTCACCAATGAGCATCTCCACACATGCATGAGGATGACTCTGTCTCCATTCAAGCCCAGGTTCAAAATGTTGGCAGGACAAGCAAGAGCTCACTTCTCTCACTAAGTAGAAATGTGGAAAACATTAACCTAAATATATGTTCAGTTATTACATGTGTGCAGAGTCACATTTTTTAAAATCATTTTAAGACTTTTTAGTCCGCACATGAAGAGGAAAAATGTAAAAATTAAGCTTTTTCTACATTTATTGTATTCTGAAGTTAGTAGTTTGTGAAGATTCAGTTGCCATGTCTTATTTTCTTGTTGACATTTTTTTCTACTTTTATTTAGTAAATGAGAGAACATTCCAAATAAGAAATCATTTACATGTTCAACACTTTAAGTGACAATAAATGTCATAAGTATTTGAATTACACTGAAGTATTTCAGATTCGATATGCAAATTAATAATGCAGATGTTGATAAAACTGCTAGGATGCTTAAATACATGTCACACTATTGTAGGTCGGACATAATGATCTTTCTGACCTTGGGCTAAAAAATTCTTTCTGACTGGACCTTTTTAAATAGTATTTGTATACCCCTGACCTAGAGGAAAACGTCATACAAAGAACTAATTAAGCATATGGGTTTAAAATACTTACCATAATTTACGGACTCGAGCGTACCGCAATATAAGCCTCACCAAAAAAAAAAAGAGCGAGAGAAAAATAACAGGTCAGATGCACCTAATAAATAAATTTACTAACACACTCAGGAATCTGTTGCTTCACTGTTCTGGTGCTGAGAATATCACTAATGCGGATCAAAGGAGATACACAGATGAATGCACCTCTTATTTATTATTTGGAGTCTACATTTACTGCTGCTGGCAGAGATTGTTTCTATTGATACACGGAATTTACAGAATCATTTAAAATTTTAATAGGGGAAGACTGCAGGAGGGAGCGGTAAAATACAGGGGGTCCCCAGCAAAAAGCTCCAACTACCCAGTGGCTGTGCTGGGTCAATGTTATCGAGCTCAGTCCGGCTCGGCTTTGAACGAGTCGAGGCGACGTCGTGCTCTGCTTAAGAAGAGGTGTTATTTTCCCGCTTCAGAAGAAGCGTCCAACGTGTTTTTACGCTTTCTCCGAGACATGTCACATTACTAAGTTGTTAGCGCCGCACGCTAACACGTCAATAGTGCAGTGTAGTCTGCTGGAGGTTTTAAGGGTTCAGATGAAACACCCGACCTCTCAGGCTGCTCACACATCGATCTTAAAGAGCAAGTAACGTCTAAATTAACTTTTTTTTTTTTGCTGATGAACTGTATAAATGAGTGTCTAATAGTGTTTTAAATGTGTGTATTCATTATTTTAGCATTTTGGTGCATTTTCTTTAAAAATTAAAAATTCTGCCTAAATACCACAGTATAATGCCACCTTCAGCTTAAAACATAGAATTTGAGTCATTTTGAATACACTTTAGCCAATGGCTAAAGAGTAAGATACTACGTAAACCAGTAGAGTACTACATAGCAGCTCTGTGTCAAAGTTATAAAAGCATTGAGAGTCTCGGCCACGCCTTGTGGCAAGTTGGGAGTTGGATTTGCAAGCGAGTGTAGGAGGTTAGCCGAAGTTCAGCATTAGCATATGGCATTAGCATATCCTAGTCTTTAGCATAGCTTTTTGTGTTATACATACTTATTTAGTGTTAGCTTGGCTGTTGGATATTGTAGTTTAGTTAGTGTTTGGCTGTTAGTGTTATTAGGAAAGTAGTTTGGGTTTAGTGCTCCATATCGTGTTAGCATGGTGAGAAGGTGTAGTGTAGTGGGTTCGGTGGCTCTGTGGGGTTGCACTCCTTTCCGCTGGACTTAGAAGTTAGGCGCCAGTGGTTGTGCGCAATCAGTGTCTGGAAAACAGTCAGCTCCCGCCTGGTGCTGTAGTTTGCAACCAGCATTTTACCTGCGATTCTGCACGTCTCCGTTTGAAGAGGGAGGCTGTACCCACCGTGGCTCTTCCGCAATTTAGATGCAGCCCACCGACTCTGCTCCCCCACCACAGCGGGCTCCCGTCTGAGGTGAGTAAGCTAAATAAAAGTTTTAACATCTTCTAAAGACAATTCCCTACCTGAATGCAAAGTTTGAGAGACGTGGTTCACTTCCTTTAGCTAATATCAGCCTGCACTGCCTTCGGGCTGATTTGTCAAGTTCACAAAATGTGGAACGGGATGTAAGGTTAGAATCAGCGGCGAATCAGAACATGTCTCGAAGCCCTGGCTGGCAAAACGGTTCACATGACTATTACTGTCAGGCTCGGAGAAAATTCGGGTTGCTTTTGTGTCAGTTGGTAATTCTGCAACAGTGGCTCTAACTGACGCAGCACTAGTTGACAGACATCATTACAGCGTGAAATCCAGCTTGTGACCCGGTTCTGTGAGGAATTCTGTTCAGGAGGTCGCATTTCAGGCTCTCCACATCATATGTGACTGACTTTTACGTTATAATAACGATCACACACTAGGAATGTTATAAAGCGTCTATATCTGACAGTTTCTTTTGTATATTATCTGACTTTATAAACAACAACAATGTGCTTCTATTTTTTTTCCAGGCTAAATCTACCCAAGACGTTGGCTGTCAGACTGATTTAGCTGCAAGAATGTACTTGTCCAGGCTGACATGAAGCCTTACCCGTAGCGAAGGTGAATTATTTTTAATAATCTTCTATGTAAACATTTTATTATTACCTTCTAGTTTTAATTTGTTTTAAAGATTATTGTTACACATGATTTTATGCTCTTTTAAACATTTATAAATGTGCTGCTTCTTTGTTTTTTTACATAGCCAGCCAGAATGGAGCTCACAGCCGCAGTGTGTCTGGTGACCCACGGGGACCATGATGGAAATTCATCTTCCAGAAAGTCCCAGAACAGCGTCCACAACCCTGAAAAGACCAAGATGTAAGGTGTCTGCTGTTGATTCCAGCTTCCACCTCAGTGACAGTGCAAGCTCAGTGAACTGTTCAAGGTAAAAAAAATTAAAACATTTCAGAATTTGTAAGATATTAACAATTAAATAAGTATGTGATTACATCATGACATCATGAAGGAGGCTACTGATTCTGGCCCTGTGACACTTGGTGGTGACGTGTGAGCTGATTCACCTGGTAAATAACTTTTACATTAAATATTTTGTTTTTGCTATCAAAAGTAAATTAACTAATAACCTGCATTATTGCAGGACACTCAGCAAAATATGGACTCTACACCATGAGGCAGGCACACGTTAATACTTATAAGAGCACATAAGGTGAGCAACACCACATATTATTGTTATTACTGTACACTGTCCTGGATTTGTTTTCTTTCTGCATCTCATCATTAGCCTGGCTGATCACCTGATAACTCATGTTATCTGGTCGTGACAGCATGAGGATGTCCTCACACACCTGTAACCTATCAGCTCATCTGGCAGAATAGAGAGAGAAGAGACAACACCACATCTCCTGTTCCTGGAAAGCCTTCAGCCATCCTTCGATGACTGAGAACCTCCATCAGCTCTGTCTCCTGTCTGCCTACAATTATTATAATAAATATTGTGTTTGACAAGTTTTTTGTGCTGCCAAATATCTCATTTAGATTCCAGTTTTGATATATTAATGGATATGTATAAATTACATTAATTGAATTATCACATTGTTGCATGTTTAACTAGCTCTATTGTGATGAATTAAACTAGCACCTCACTGTTAAAAGCTCGTTTTAATTTCAAGCATGTTTAAGTATTTATGGACATGAACAAAAACAGGAAATATATAAATTGAGATTTATTTAATTAATATAACAAATAAGGGGGAAAGAGTCATTGTGTCACAAACTCCTCCAGCTGACTCCATTTCCCGGCATTCTCGCCACCACTTCTCAACATTCCCGCCACCGACGTGGCCGCCGACGTCATCACGCCGACACTATAAACGGAAGTGCCGGCATTCATTCATAACTCTGTCATCGTTCCTACCAGACTTTGAATCGAGTTCTCAGGCTTACCAGCCCTCAAACCTAACCTAATGGATTTAACCACGCTGTTCACCTCCACCACTCCGCATCTGGGCAACAGACCATCTAAGCTACGCTTCAGCTCTTCCACCAAACCTGACAGGATGACAGAGTCACAAGTTGACCCAGCGGAGTTCGCTTATCTGCGTGTTGAAGTGGTTCAACTGCGCGCAGCTATGTATCAGCATACGGCAGAAATGAACCAGCTCCGTGCTATAGCTGATCGCCAAGCCACGAAGATCGAGTCACTCACCGAGCTAGTTCTCCAGCTCTCTACTGCCCTGCGACGACGGACCTCGGCCGTCTCTGAGACGATGGAACCACGCCTCAGCCTTCCAGATAAGTGGGACGGAACCAGGGGGTCCCCGGAGGGCATGCTGGCGACCCTGGCAATGATTTTTGAGTGCCAGCCGGCACGCTACCCCACTTCATGCTCTCGAGTCGCCCTGCTGACCTCACTGCTGACGGGTCGAGCCGGTGAATGGGCAGCGGCTCTTTATAATCAAAAATCTCCTGCCTGCAATGATTATGAGACTTTTGTGAAGGAGATGAAAAAGACATTTGTTCATCCCAGCAGCAAGGTCTCGGACGAGACTCGGCTGCTTCAGCTTCGTCAGGGCTCCCAGACGGTGGCTCAGTACACCTCTCGCATCCGGACGACAGCCGCTCGGTTGACGTGGGATGACGCCGCCCTGAAGGCCGTTTATCTGGAGGGGTTTTCACCTAGAATCCGGGAGGGCATGATCGGACACAAGGCCCCAACCTCCCTGGACCTGGCAGTGTATCTGGCCCTCCAGATGGACCGCTGCATCCTGAACAGGCCGAGCACCATGTCAGCTTCCATCCACACCAGAACGTCACCCCGTCGTCTGGCTCACCAACCGACGGAGGAGCCGATGCAGCTCGGACATCTCCCCCCTGAGGAACGGGCGCGGCGCTATCAGGAGGGACGATGCACGTACTGTGGGGATTTGGGTCACCACCATGGCACGTGCCCAAAAAGACCGGGAAACGGTCCCTCCGGGTCGGAGTAGGGGCTGTCCCGCCTGGAGTCTCCATTTTTTCCGGCTCCACACCACACCACTCTCCCGGTCTCCCTTCACCTGGACCAAGGCCCGACCAGACTGGAGGCTCTTTTAGACACTGGGGCCGCAGAGTGTTTTATCGATCAAGGACTGGTTACTCAGCTCAAGATACCCCTTACTGCTCTTGACCGACCCATTCCTGTGACCTCTGTGGACGGCCGGCCAATCATGCTGTACCCTCTCACCCACCGAACCCAGGGTCTCCACATGACTATTGACCAACACCTGGAGACCCTCCACTTCCTGGCCATCCAGGCTCCGACTACGCCACTCATCTTGGGTCATTCCTGGTTCTGCCGTCATGAGCCTCACATCTCCTGGTCCACCAGTAAGGTCCTGGCCTGGGGCTCGGGTTGCCAGAACCACCATGGCTCCCCCACACCGCAGACTGTAGTAACTCTACCCAAGGACATAGACCTGACGCTCGTTCCTCCTCAATACCACGACCTCGCTCAGGTCTTTGCTAAAGAACCCACTATCAGGCTGCCTCCTCTTCGACCCTATGATCTGGAGATCAGGCTCCAGCCCGGCACCCCCCCCCCCCCCCCCTCGGGGTCACCTGTACTCTCTCTCTCTCCGGCAGAGACCCGGGCTATGGATAATTACATAACGGATGCCCTCCAGAAGGGGTTCATCCGTTCCTCAACATCCCCCGGTGCCGCAGGGTTTTTCTTTGTAAAGAAGAAGGAGGGGGATCTCCGGCCCTGTATTGACTATCGAGGGTTAAATAAAATAACGATCCGGAACCATCACCCTCTTCCTCTCATGGGCACCGCCCTGGACGCCATCACCCAAGCCGCTGTATTTACCAAACTGGACCTGTGCAGTACTTACAACCTGATCCATATCAAGGAGGGTGAGGAGTGGAAGACCACGTTTATCACGCCCACCGGCCACTATGAATATTTAGTGATGCCTTTTGGCCTCTGCAACAGCCCCGCCGTCTTCCAGCGGTTCATTACAGATGTGCTAAGAGACATGTTGGGCCGCTGGGTCTTTGTATATCTAGATGATATCCTCATCTAGTCCCGCACGGCCGAAGAGAACATCCTGTACTGCAAACTGGAGAAGTGTGCGTTTCACCAGAAGTCCACATCCTTCCTGGGTTTTACCATCTCCTCCCAGGGCCTGAAGATGGACCCTCAGAAGGTTCAGGCAGTAGCTCAGTGGCCTCTACCCACGACCCTGAAGCAGTTGCAGAGCTTCCTGGGTTTCTCGAACTTTTACCGGAGGTTCAAACGCAACTTCAGTTCCCTCGCAGCGCCTTTAACCTCCCTCACCAAAACCACCAACTAGCCTCGCTCTTTCCGCCTTACTCCAGAGGCTGTCCGTGCTTTCCATGAGCTGGTTGGGCGTTTTATTAAGGAACACATCCTCCTCCACCCTGACCAGACCCGGCCCTTCGTCATGGAGGTGGACGCCTCTGATGTGGGAGCGGGGGACGTCCTCTCGCAACAGGGCCCGGACTCTAAGCTCCACCCATGCGCCTACTTCTCCCGTAAGTTTTCCCCCACACAGCAGAACTATGGGGTCGGCGACAGAGAACTGCTGGCAATAAAATGGGCTCTGGAGGAATGGTGGCAGTGGCTCTTGGGGACCACCGACCCTTTTCTGATCTGGACCGACCACTAGAATCTCATCCATCTACAGACTGCCTGCCAACTCAACCCTCGTCAGGCTCGGTGGGCCCTCTTTTTCGAGCCGTACAACTTTCATATTGCCTACCGGCCCGGCTCCAAGAGCCTCAAGGCGGAAACTCTCTCTCGGCGTTTCGCTCCAGATTCAAACCCCCCGGAGCCTCTGACCATTCTGCCGACTCAACGCTTCCTGGCCTCCCTCCAATGGCCGTTGGAGCAATCCATACGGGCCACACTTCCTGGCGATCCGGCGCCCCCAGAGACTCCACCGAACCGTCTCTATGTTCCAGTCTCCTGCCGACAAGAGGCACTCACGTGGGGGCATTGTTCACGGCTCGCGGGACATCAAGGACAAGCCCGTACCCTCCAGTTCCTCCGTCGGGCTCTCTGGTGACCGTCTATGAGAAGGGATGTCAGCGAGTTCACTGCGGCATGTGATGTGTGTGCTCGATCCAAGTCCTCTAACCGACCTGGCGCTGGAGATTTACAGCCTCTCCCTGTGCCCAAGCAGCCGTGGTCACACATTGGGCTGGATTTTGTCACGGGACTGCCGGCCATCGACCACCTGGACACCATATTGACTATCACGGACCGTTTCTCCAAGGCCGTGCACTTAGTGGCCCTGGCCGGCCTTTCCACTACCAAGAGAACGGCCAAACTGCTCCTCGAACAGGTGGTGCCGCTCCATGGTTTCCCTCAGGACATGGTTTCCGACCGAGGACGCGTTCTGTCGCCTGGTCGGCGCTTCCACCAGCCTGTCCTCTGGGTACCATCCGCAGACGAACAGTCAGACAGAGAGAGCTAACCAGCAGCTTGGACGCTACTTGCGCTGCTTCGCCTCGTCCCAGCCGACCACCTGGCCCCGCTTCCTCCTGTGGGCGGAACTGTCCCACAACCTCCAGACCTCCTCTGCCACAAGTGTGTCTCCCTTCGAGACCTGTTATGGATACCAGCCCCCTCTGTTCGACCATCAGGTGCCTGAGGTGGAGGTCCCTGCTGCCCAGACGCTGGTCCGCCGCTGTCGGCTCGCCTGGATCCGGGCCCGTGCGGCCATCACTCGGACCAACACGAAGTATATCTGTCAACATCGCCGCCGCCACCGGCCTGGCCCCGTCTTCCGGTCTGGCGACCAGGTGTGGCTCTCCTCCGCTAAACTGAGGATGCCTGCTGGCTCCAGGGAGCTCACTCCTTGCTTCCTGGGTCCGTTCCCTGTCCTCAGGGTCATCAATCCAGTCACTTACCGTCTGCGCCTCCCGGCTGCTCTCTGGGTCCACCCGGTCTTTCACGTCTCCCAGCTGAATCCGTGGTCTCCTCTCCTCTCCACCCTCCTCCGACCAGGGTGCCTCCGCCCCGCTGTGTGGAGGAGGATCGTGTTTACATGGTCCGCAAGATTCTGGACGCTCGCCGCCGGGGACGTGGTTGGCAGTACCTAGTGGACTGGGAGGGATACGACCCGGAGGAGCGCTCTTGGGAGCCCACGAGCTTGTTTGTCGATCCTACCCTGCTGTCTGACTTCTGGGCCCGCCGTCCTGGGACTTCGGGAGCCGTCCCTCGAAGGGGGGGGGGGGGGGGGGGTCCTGTCCCGAACTCCTCCAGCTGACTCCATTTCCCGGCATTCTCGCCACCACTTCTCAACATTCCCGCCACCGACGTGGCCGCCAACGTCATCATGCCGACACTATAAACGGAAGTGCCGGCATTCATTCATTACTCTGTCATCGTTCATACCAGACTTTGAATCGAGTTCTCAGGCTTACCAGCCCTCAAACCTAACCTAAAGGATTTAACCACGCTGTTCACCTCCAGCATTCCGTGTCTGGGCAACAGACCA